GACATTGTGCCATTGGTCCATTAGGATTTGGTTGAGTGTTGTGCATTATTTTTAATTTGCATTCACAGTATGCTCTGTAATAACTCCCACTGAATTCTAGCAATGAATGCTGTGAATTTGTATTAACAGCAGCGCTGTTTTGTGCAACTGTAGTAAAATTCTTTGCAAAAGAATACTTAGCATATAATCTCCTTCAGCAAAGGAGATCAGAGTTCCAAATAACAACAGAGACTTGCAAATTGTTCCTGGGCTAATTGTAATGGAAGGATTCATCTTGGATGGAAATCATTGGCACAAGATAGTGTTGATGCCAGAAGTTTACATGGCTTCAAAAAGCAATTAGACATAATTATGGAAGAAAAATCCATGAAAGACAACTAAACACACAGCTAACTCTAGTTCAGAAATTCCCTGAGCCATTGATTGCTGGAAGATGAGAAAAGGTCCTAGGGATGGATCACTGCACAGTTCTTCCCTGGGATTGTGCTGCTGGGCACAGCCTGAAGAACACGCTGTTCTAGTCTGACCCAGTATGGCTTTCACATAGTGTCATGTTGAGATGTCGTGCAGAGAGCTTTTAGGAAGAAAAGAGAATGGGAAAAAAAAAATCATCTTCCTTCAGGTTAACAGCTTGCAAGTTTTAAGGTTTCTGAATTAAAATCCTCCTGCATATTTCAGATCCTCTTGGCCCATCAGCTTCCTTTGGAAAAGCAAACACACCGGACTGAACCACTGCCATGGGCACATGCCTGCGGTGCCCTTAACTGGATGAAGGCTCACACAGAGGCTGGCAGTGGAGCACTCATTTTCAGTAGTTACTGGCCTGAAGTTTGCTTATGCTACAAGATGCATTTTTGGCAATGAGTATTTATCTGCCATTGGGCTGGATCATCATTGCTAAAGAGGAGAAGCTGCTTTCTCAGTTAAACTACATAAAGGAATCTGGTAAAGTGTACACAATATCTTACTCTGATGGCTATAAAAACATAGCTTACAACAGTGAAAAATCATTAATTTTGTGCAGAAGAAGCAAGTCCTGCTGTCGGTTAGAAGAGGGAACTAATAACACCAGGGTCATGGGCTCAATCCCCATACAGGTCATTCATTTAAGAGCTGGACTCGATGATCCTTGTGTGTCCTTCCAACTCAGAATATTCTGTGATACTCTAAGTACAACATCTTATGAGACACTCAGAATCCTGAAGACTTCTCCATGTGCCCTGATTTTTTTTCACCTTGACCTTCTCCAAAGAGTGAATGGTGCTTGACTGGATGAGTCATCACTGGCACATTTGATGAACATCTCAAAGTGATGGTACATGTAACTGCTTTTAAACACCTAATAATTTAGCTAGGTTTAGCTTGATCCCAACAGATTGTTTGCTGGCTGAATTTAGTTATTAAATTATTATTTTAATAAAGCCTAATTTTTAAGTTATGGGACACAAAATTCTGTCCTGAAAAAAACAGAGAGAAAAAACATTAAGGCAAGATAAAAAGCATAGCAGCAACAGCCACACAAGATGATTATTTAGTCTGGACCTCATTTTTATTTTAAGGGGGTACAAGAATGCATTACTTTTTGTGATTTTCCTTTAGTGGAATGATTGGGGCCATTTGATGTCCTGGAGTCTGGCAGACGGTACCTTAGTTCTTGCAGTTTATCATTATGTAAAACCATGTTGCCCAAAACCATGGGTGGAAATAAATGAAGTTGTGAAATGCAATGACTTTTTCCCAGTTTGAAACACATATGTCTGTTTTGTGAATTTGCTGGAAATTTCTTTTTGCTAAAAGCACATTGTGAGTACACTAAAAACACTAAAATGGTTGTCTCACTCCAACACCTCACACTGGGGCCTCTCATACTTCCCCAGAACGTGGGACTCCAGTTTCACTGAACATCTTTAGTACCTTTCTCTTCCTGTTAATTGTAACAGTAATTTCTCCTCCTATTTGCAATAACTAATATCCCTGTGACAGCCATTGCTTAGATGAGAAGGCAGCACTAGGAAAGCATTTAATGAACATTAATTGCTTCTTAATATGATTTAGCTGCTGGAAATAAGAAGGCTAAGCTGGCTCCATGTGACCAGTAGCCCTACAGGCACCTCCACCAGACTCCTTTCGAGATGCAATCCTGCTGACCTGGGGGACAGCAGCCTTTCATGGATGATAACCAAAGCTGCATTTTGCTTTTCCAAATTAGCAGCTAAGTAGGGCTGTAGGAGCTCAGTAACAAAGTCATGATGATACCACCTGGCTGATTAGTGATCTCTTCCTTCTGTGCAAGCCAGCAATTATCAATTCCTGCTGACTTCAGAAGCTAATGGGAATCAGAGGATGGGGGATGCTGCCAAAATGCAGCAGCTTCCAGCTGTGAGGAGGATGACGAGATGGGACACAGACCTTATGTACACTGTTAAGTCTCTGTCTTTTCCTGTGTGGCATCTTTGGCACCTGTACCTTTATCATTTTGACCCTCTGATTACATTACCTGACACCATCACTTCTGATACAGCAACACCATGCAAGAGAAACTTGGTCTTTTGAATCCAACATTCCTAAATTTGAATTCTGATTCTCCATTGATTCTTATCTCACTCTTTAGTAGGATCACTTAACCTTTCTACTAAGCTGCTGTGCCAGAAAATTAAGGCTGATAACATTTAAAGATACTGTGACAATCAATCAATACCTGTTTGTAAACTTGTTAGTAAACAACAAGCACCAAGTGTCCAGTCTAATCTAAACACATTCAGTTTATAATCTTCTGATTTTCTTTGCAAGAACTTTAATATGACACACAGATTAACCTTCTGATCTCGGGGAAAAAAATCTTTACCGGTACTATAGACTAGCATTGGCGTTTCCTTCTGATCTTGGAAAAAAATCTTTACTGGTACTATAGACCTCTAACTTGAAATATTATGTCCTCACTGGTATCACTAAATTTCCCATAGATTAGCTGACAGTGATACCTCAGGACTCACAGGAAAACTGTATTGCAGAGGGAAATAACAGTGAGGGCAAAAGCCAAATCTTTTTCTGGACTGTAATTCTTAGTCTTCTTGGATTCAGAGCTGGAATTGAAAAATCACTAGGCTTTTAAGATGAAAGACTTATTGTTTTACATAGGGTATATTTAATAGGTATTACAAAATAGCTGATGATATCCACTAACATAAGCAGGAGCCTTCATGTTTTACAGAAGTGATGGGGGATTGATATTTCTAATATCCACTGATCAATATACACATACCTTGAAAAGATTGACAGTTTCCCCTCTTCTTATTTGTACACAGTGTTTTATAGGATGGGCCCAAAGCAAACTTTTGGGAAATGGTGATGTTTCCTTCATGTTCCAGACATTTATATTCAATCACAACAATTCAGAAGTTTGCTGGTTTGAGATTCACAACAATCTCAAACCAGCAAACTTTTTCAGGACTTCAGAAGTCTTCACACAGGCTTTGTTTTGCTATTACAATTAAGTACCTCAAAGCCAAGAAGACAACTGAGCTGGGATCCCACGGGACTGTGCAATGAGCCAGTCAGATACCTGCAACCCCTTGGGACAACAGCCAGCTGCTTCTAGCTCCCTCCCACCAGAACCCTCACCAGCAAGCAAACAAATGCCCCAAAAATCATTAGATGTTTCCCTACATACCCCGTCACAATCACAGACAGTGCTGTTCTGTTCTTCTGGTGCACTTCTTAGAGGCTGGCTGCTTCTTATTGTCATATCTAACCACTCACAATATCAAGTCTGTGTTACTTAATTAATATAGTTGCAGCAGAGCTCTTACATTTCTAGCCATTTTTTGATGAGCAGCAGCTCCAAGGTTTAAGGAAATGCTCACAGATACAGAAAACATGAAGGATAGGGAAGAATCTGCAAAAACAAGGTGTCAGCTCACAACTGAAAGGCTGCTGTAAGTCATAGCATCTCTTCTACCCACTTTTAATAAAGGGGAGATAGTTATTGGCACCTTGTCACTTTACTAGGATTCTCATACCAATGGCTGGCTTGTGAAAGCAACACTGAATGCACCATCAGGTAGAAAGATACAAGCTTGCTACAGAAGCATTTCTTTACCAAAATCACTCCAAGTTATAGACTCATAGAATGTTTTGGGTTGAAAGTGACCTTATAGATCATCTAATTCCAAACACCCCTTGCCATAAGCAACCACAATTTCCACTAGGTCAGGCTGATCCAAGTTGGCCTTGAACACTTCCAGGGATGGGGCATCCACGGTTTCTCTGCGCAATCGGTTTCAGTGCCTCACCATGCTCACAGTAAAGAATATCTTCCTAATATTCCATCGAAACCTGTCTTTTTTCAGTTTAAAGCCATGCTGCTTGTCCTATCACTACATGCCCTTGTTAAAAAGTCCCTCTCCAGTTTTCTTGTGCATTTCCTTCAGACACCAGAAGGCTGTAATGAGGTGTCCCCAGTGCCTTCTCCAGGCTGAAGCACCCCAGCCCTCTCAGTCTGTCTCCACAGCAGAGGTGCTCCATCCCTCGGGTCAGCTTCATGGCCCTGCTTTGAACAGGTTTACAGCCTTCTTATGTTGGGGGTCCCAGAGCTGCACAAACACAGTGTTCCACGTGGGGTCATTTTTATCTATAATATGCATACTTCTATAACACACCTTTTATAAGACAACACGCAGGACACATTGACTGTTATTTTTTAATTCAGAGAAAGAGCTATTGAAGTAGCAGCGGCTTCACTACACCAGCCACGGGGCAGGGCTGCCTGCCCTGGCCGGGCAAGCCCCGCACCCTGCTCCCGCCGCCGTCCCGCACGGCGCCCCTCTCCCCCATTAAAGTTTGGGCAGTTTCGACTCCCTCGCTCCGCCGCCCTTCGCACAGGGAAGCGCTCCGGGAAGCGCCCCGAGCGGCCGCCGGCACAGGCCGCTGGCACAGGCCGCCCGGGTGCCGCCCTCACGCCGGCCGAGCCCGGCCGCCCCCCGCCANCCAGCGGGCCGGGCCCGCGCGGCGGCCGCGGCAGGAGGGGGGGCGGATGGCGGCGGCGCAGGGCTGCGGGCGAGGGGCGGAGCGCAGAGACCCTGTGGCTGCCATGGCCGCCTCCCCCTCCCCGCAGCCTCCCTTAAATACTATGGGGCCGTAGCTGCGACGGGCGCCGCTGCCGAGCGCACCATGCGGGCTGTCATCGCCTTGGCCGCGGCGCTGGGCAGCCTGCTGCTGGGAGGCTGCCTCCTGCGCCTGGGCGGCCAGCAGCCCCTCCGCGCCAGGTAGGGCGGCCGGGCGGCCTCGCCCGCGGTCCGGAGCCGGCTGGGGAGGGCGGGAGGAGCGGGGCGAGCCCCGCGGGGCGCGGCGGAGCCTGGCGCGGTGCCCCCGGCGCGGTGCCCCCGGCTCGGTCTGGGCTCGGCTCGGGTCGTGGGCAGGAGAGCGGCGCCGCTCGCGCCGGGTGATGTTCAGTCACTGGTCCTGACAACTTTGTTTTCCCGTCTCGCTTGCCAGGGGCTGGGAGGAGGACGCAGGAACAGCGGCTGTCACGCCGAAAGTGGTGCGAGCCCTCAGGTCACCCCTGACGCCCCCTCCTCAGACCGAGAACAGGTACGGGCTGGACGCCCGCAGGTGGGTCCTGGAGGTCGGGTCTACAAAAGCAGAAATTCACCTTCGCTCCGGTTCATTCTTGCTTTTGTTTCGGTAGCTTGGTCAGAGAGAGCGTTGGAGATTATTAGGGCAAATGACCCTAGAATGAATTATTTGCTCATGGGCCCTCTTATTGACGGCTGTCACTCTGCCGTTGGTTTTGAGCCCAGTAAAATATTGCGTAGAGCAATTTTGTTAGCGTACGATGCAAAAAGTGCCTGCTGAATGACACATTCCAGGTATCTTTTTATTCTTCTTTCCTAGAAGGTGGAGCTGGGTAATGCTGTCACTGTTTTTGTAATCCGTATTTAGTTAAAAATATAGATGTATTATTTACAATCCATAGGATGAAGGCAAGACATATGAAGCCTGTTTCGTTTTGGGTTGGCATTATACTTTCTGGGAGCCCATTCATTTGATCCTCTGTCTTGACCTCCTAGATCCGTGTAGATTTTTGCTTTACAGCCTGTTATTTTATACTGTGAAGTTTAATATGAAGATACTTTGTAAAATCAGCTGCGAAGCGTTGTGTCTTACATGCAGACTTCAATACTAATGACTATTGTTTTCATGCTCTTGAGTCCCCACATACTGTAGGAGAACTAAGAGAGCAGAAGATGGTGGTGTAATCCACACATGAGATCAATACTCTGTAAGAAGTAGTTTTGAAATATTTTTGCTTTCTTCTTTTACTTTTTATGGCATTATTACCTTTACAGTTAGCATAACTATTATATGTTAATATACATCATAGTCAAAAATGCGTTATAAAAATTAGAAAGAACTTAAGAATTGTGTCTTTCACAGAAACTGTGATGTTCTGGTTGTCTTGAAGACAGTGGTGACAGTGCTGTTAACCTTACTGAGGCCACCATCTCACTCAATCTAGCTGAATTTGACAGTCTATGCTTTCCCTAAGTGAATGCAAGTGATGTTGGTTGCAGTAATGATTGCAGTGTACCCTAACAGTGCATTTCTTACGTGTTTCTGATGAGATATGCTTGTGCTCTCTCCCTTGATATTTAAAACTTTCACAAGCTGTAAGTTTATAGCATCTTTCAAAGTTAGAGTGAAAGGAAAGGAACAAAATTCTGCAAATGTTTGTACCTGGCATTATGAGCTTCTAGCCTGCTTCTCTTTCCTGTTCTTATTTTATCCCTTTCTGCTTTTTTCCCTTCTTTCCCCCTCTTGATGTTGGATTTTGCAGTATGTGCTGTTCTGCTTTGCTTTTGTGTAGCCATTACTCTGTTCTCTCCAATCTGTTTTGGGCTGTTTGTGGTTTCCCCCTGGCCTGTCTCCTCATGCTCTTCCCTGCTAGTTTCTGAGCTGCATCTATGTTATACCATGGACTTGAATTTACTAGAAATGCTGGCAGAGAGCACTTCAGAGAACAGTCTAACTATTTCCCATCTGCTGTTAGTACACTCACAACTGGAGCAATGAAAGTAGAAATAACACATACCAAAGAGGTCTGAAAATCCATGTCATTTTTTAAATCTTTGTAATAGGGCAAGTGAGATTGTGATTTTAAATATATATTTTTCCTTATTTTACTTGGAGGATTTTGGCACCAATTTGAAGCTAGTTTTTGTCAGCCTGAAATTGTATTTCTTCATGACTGAGTGACTGCGAAAGTGTGTCAAGTAAATAATTCATCAAAGAAAGTTTCAATATACTCAAGCTCCTGTAACCATAGTGTCTTTGGAGACACGTCGTGCCAGCTGAATCCAAGAGTGGATGTGCTTTCTCACCTGAGTGACTATGCTCAGTAAGCTGGCCTGACAGGAGTTTGTGGTGCATGTGTGGCTAATGGGAAAGGAGAGAGAGCTGCTGGACTGGGCTGACCAGGAGCTGTTACTTCATCCAGAGAGCAGCAGGACTGGGCAGGGAGCCATGCTGGAAGGGTTTGATCCAGGCAGCAGCTGGACTGGGCCTGGCTAAGGGCCACGCTGGAGATGTTTGATCCAGAGAGCATCTGGACTCATTCAAGAGGTTCAGACCAATCCCTCAGTGATGGAGATGGATGGTCTGGTCACTAGGAATTAGATTCCACTGTGCTGTGGGAAAGTGTGGTTCTCCTAAACAGCCCTGATCATTTGAATGGCATTGCTGGGTTATTGGCAGCAGCGTCCTTTCCTGCATAAGAGTACGAGGATGTGCGTGGATGTTTCCAGGAAAGGAAAAAGAAAAAAAACCTAGGCACTATCCTTGACCTCTAAGTAAAAGTAATCTAGACAATCTTCACAGTCACAAGCTAATCTTTTTTGTTATCATTATTTCCTTTGCTGTTGGAGGCATATTTGTAACCAGACATCTCCCAAAGAATCTCTAAGGTCTTATTATTCTGTTGCCTTGCAGTATTGAAAGCTAATCTGTTCTTTTACTTTGAGTAATTCTTTTAAAAGGATGAAACTGAAGGATGAAAAGCAGGGAATTGGATCAGACTCTCTTAGATATTTAGGCAGCTATTATGTGCAGCAATGTTTAAATACATGGTGACCAGGCACCTAAAGTTCTCTTTCTGTGTCTCGGTAAATAACCTTGATGATATGGTTTGTCTCTTAGAGGATGTTGCTTACCCCTTTTTCTTGTTAAGCCTTAGCTAATTGGAGCAATGTGACTGCCTCTACAGTGTAACTTGCACATCTAGTCTTGGGCTTATTTCACTGCCTACTGTGACTCTTAATAGGGTTTTTTACTGAAAAGAAAGGCTGCTGTGTTAGTAAGATATGTCTAGTAGTCCCCAGATTTGTTCATGGAACCAGTATCACTATACTGCAATAGTATGTTCTCTGGCAAATTCTCCTATATATGTTTCATACTGTCCTCTCAAATTTTAAGCTCTAACTGCGAATACAATATATATTATCTTAAGTACAACCTTCTTATATTTTCAACAGTACAACCAAAAAAAGAAGTCTTGCATTTTTCCCACCTTTAGACCCTTGGTCTTCCCTCTCTTCTTTCCTCTCTCCCCAGCTGTGTTTGTGCAGGCGTATTTGTTTGTTTAGTGGTTACATTAATAGTAGAACAGAAGACTCAGAACTTCTAGTGCTTATCAGGGGAAAATGAAAATAGTAAGAGAAGCTAGGTAGTATTTTCTTTGTTATGAGGCCCAGGGTGTGCTAGGTTAAATTTAGGTAGAAATTCTATCTCCTGTTATAGTACCCAGGAATACGTACCAGGTAAATAATGCCAGGACCTGCAAGGGAAGTCAAAATAGCACTATTTATGTATAGTTTATATAAAAGTAACAAGGCAACAGTACCCTAAAGAACTGACCACCATTACTCTGTTAGTCTGTGTTGCCAGTTTTAAGGCATTCACTTACTATTTCCCCAGCTTGCTTTCTGTCTTTCCAGGTCCACGGCAAGCACAGTGTAAAGACCACTGAGGTAATTGAACAGTGGGAGGAAGGGATTGAGAAGCAATGGGTAAACAAGTTAGTGTTAATACAGTGTTCCATAGTGTTGATTTCTCCAATTCCTCTCTCAGCAGCAGATTTGTGTGCAGGCCTTGGAAACAAACCGCTATACTTAATTAACAATGCTATAGAGACCTGTACATTCTGTCTCCTGACAAAATATTGCATTCAGGCAGTCAGAAGGGGAAGAAGAGACAGGGTAATACCGCAATCATGGAGTAGCCTAGTATATTGCACAAATAATTTGCTATGGTTTAGATTAGTCAGCAGTGGGGGTCCACTTCACTAATTTTACTGCTCTCTTAATATTTTGCCCCTTCATTCCCAAGTGATGCATGCAGACATATTTTAGGAGTTTATTTTGAACCCATGCCTCATGTATTACTTCTGTCTAAATGAATAGGTGTTCAGTTGAAAGCTGCTGCCAGGACACATTTGTGTTCTGACAGTGGTGAAAGGTTTCTGTTTACTTGGTCCAAGTGAAACTGCTCTGTCATTCTATTGTGTGCCCTTTTAACATGATTTTTATTCTTTTCACCTATCATGAATGTTGCTTGTCATGTTACCTGTCATGCAGTTTATAGATTTTACAAATAAAAAGTATCTGACATTATACATAACCCTGAATGCATTGGATAGCCTTTCACATAATTTAAAGATGGAGTTTATGTTAAAGACCAGATTTAACATTCCTTAGATAAGCAATACCTCTATGGGAACTTGAACAATGGCAGCGGGATCAGTCCCTTTAACAGTTGCTGTGATTAATGTTTCAAGACAAATTCTTACTCCTGTGGTTTGATGAAGCAATTTTTTTTAGTCCATTTCACCAAGAATTTAAATAAAGTGTATTGCCTTATTAATCAAGGTGTTGTGAACTTTAAAAACATCACTGTATTCTTATCATCTGATTAATTTGACATATATCAAAGACAGCACTAAAGAGCACCCTTCCTGTGGAAGTATGGATTGTGGGTTTTTTAATAGTATTCAACTAACAGATGATGATCTTCAAATATAAATTAGTCCCTTCAAGGGAGAGATTAAGGCAGAAGATATTCACAATCTGGATAATGCTATTCAGTGCCATTTTGGTAGAATGATAAAAATGTGCAATTTTGCATGCAGAAGTTATCCATTTTAGCTGGAGATGCTCAGCTGGAACATGTTTAGAGCTCTTGTGCTTCTTCACACAGACAAGAGCAAGCAGCTATAGAAAAGAGCAACAACTGGTTCTGCTGGGTGTGGAGCGAATAGCCAACAAGTGGGATTTTTCCCTTGCTCTCAGTGTGGACTTACTAGGGAGGTGAAATTTTTGTTGCTTTCACTACTGCCAGACAGTTCAGTTCTGAGAAATTTTGAATATCTCATCCCACATTTTTTTATACCTGATTTCGAGGGATATCTAGAGGAGTGACCTTTTAATCTTCATGTTACAGTATAACTCACAGCACCAGTTTTTCCATCTGCCTTTTTTCTTTTCTTCCCTATCATTACTCCATCTTATGCCCATCTAGCACCAGTTTTTCCATCTGCCTTTTTTTTTTTTCTTCCCTATAATTATTCCACCTTATGCCCATCTCGTTTTCCTACTCTGATAACTGGATTGAGTTTTGTTTTGTTTTTAAAGAGTGTGCCTTTGCTTTTCCTGCCTGTACCTCGTACCTTTCTGCTTCCCCAGAATGCTGTCTTACTTGACATACCCCTCTGTCTGGTGATTCCCTGCACTAAGGTTCCCTGTTGTCTCAGGACTGAATGCTGCAGGAGCAGAAAAAGGACTTCACTTATAGTTTCTGTCTAAAGATTCAGTCCTTGTCTTAAGCAATTTTACAGTTTGAGGATCTGCTGTCTTCCTGAGAGCAAGATATAGAATAAAAACATGCTGATAGATAGGCCTTAACACATGGTCTTAATCTACTGTGGATTTATTAAAGTACAGATGGTGCACTTCCTGAGTTTCTAGAATTACCATAGGAAGTATGTGGTCCTCAAGCTGTTTGTATATGATTAGAAAAAAACCCTGTTTTTCAGATTTGGTCCAATGAGATTGGCTTTGAGAACATCTAAGCCCCTGGGGAAAAACAGCTGAAATTTCCCTGTATCATCAGTTTTATGAGTTCAAGCCAACAGAATGTTTCTACTTCAAGTTCTCATTTAGCTTAATAGTTCACTAAATTAGTAGAATGTAGCCTGATATCTGCGTTGTTAGGCACGTTATTGATTTCATTGCAGAAGTTGTAGTGCTGCTCTAAGTAGTGAACAAAGACTGTCATCCACTAGGTCAGGTAAATTCATTTAGTGGTAAATGTTGCCTTGCACAATTGTCTGAAATGAGCAGAAACTTAATCTGAGTCTGATGCCTGCACAACTTTGCCATGAATAATGCAGTAGAAGTCTGGACTGCCTCTTGCACACCCATCTTTATCTAAATGCAAAAAGATTTCACTCATGTAAAGCAGAGGCCACTCTGACAGTAAAACAGAAATCCAGAAATTTAGCTTTTAATGGAATGAGTAATTGTTTTACATCTCTTGCAAATAAATTGTTTTAATTTTGTACCTTTTGCACCACATAAAGAGGGTTAAGTAAATTTTATGTATAAAAAGCCACAGAAGAAGCATTTTGGTGATCTGTCATGTGGCTGTAAAAGTGATTGTGAGGGGAAACAGAAATGGGGGATTTTCTTTGTTCTTTTTTGTCTGACTTCCTCTTTTTTGAATTTTTCAGGTCTTGAAAATGATTGCATAAAAACAATTGCGTATTAAAAAATGAGGCACCTTGTTTTCATTGATCTTATGAATTTTTAAAAGGACTAAAAGTCTGTGGAGTAAGGCTTGTATTTGAGAGAATATTTATTCATTGCCCCACAGATCTCAAGATATAAGTTAATAGGAAGATGTAAGGACTCGTAATGGTTGTCTGCACAGAGTTGTGCAAGAATGTTGGTGCTCTGCCACTCTTCTAACACCCCTCACAGGGAGCTGGTCAAACCTAAGTGCCTCTCTGATTTAGTCATCCACTTGGCTGTCTTCACAGGTTAGACAGGGTCTCTTCTGGCCAGCTGTGGCTCAGAAGGGCTGGGGCCACTTCTCAAATCATCATCCAGCATCTTAGGTTTTAGTTACAATGAAAGGCTTATTTGCAGCACTAACATGCACTTGGCTTTTTTTTTTTTTTTCCCCCTTTCTATTTCTTTAAGATGCTGTTTAGGCAGCTAAACTTTTGCCTGTAGCCATTTCTCTTATTTTAAGCTGCAGCTGGAGAATAATCATTTGATGTTACTAAGTTAAAGAAGCAAGAGAGAGGAAGCATGATGTAGTGCTAACAAAATTTGTTTGAGAACTGGAAAGAGCCTACCTGGTTGTTCTGCATAGACAGAACTGTTCAGACCAAGCTGCAATAAACGTGTGTACATAAATTTTGTTGGCAGAATATTTTCTAGCACTTGCTATGTGAGATCTGCAGAGTTTTTAGCTCTGAACTGTGTGCTCTGAGAGCCTTCTGCTATTTGTATTTCACTCCTTGAGAAAAAATGAGATAAAGAGCTGTATGCAAAGGCAGCCAAGGAGCTCTCAGTAGGCAGTGCCAGCTGTTACTATTTATTGAAGTCACTGCAGAACTGAAAGAATAGAGGTTTATGTTGTGTTGTCGTACTGTTTTCCTCAACAAGGGGCATACAGACTGGATACTTCCTCAGGAGCACTGAATGTATACTGGGAAGAATTTATTGGTGGTGGGAAGAAATGAAGAGGGCTGTTCTCTCTCCTTGGCAGCCTACATTCTGTGGAAATTGCTACTAGGGGTGACTAACTCTAGAAAATTCACGGGCAATGGAAAGAAAAAGAAAGGTGGTTCTTTCCTTCCCTGTCAGCTATGACCATGAGAGTCAGTTCAGTAGCAAAATAAAGAAGCATTTATTCTTCTCTTTCTTCTTCGTTCAGTCTTCTCATTTGAAGAGTTTGAGAAGAGAAGGCTCAGGAGAGAATTAATTGATACCTGAAGGGAGGGTGCAGAGGATGGAGCCAAGATCTTCTTAGTGGTGCTCAGTGATAGAACAGAGGCAGTAGGCACCAACTGAAACACAGGAAGTTCCCTCTGACCATCAGGCATCACTTTTTCATTGTAAGGGTGATTGAGCACTGGCACAGGCTGCTCAGGTAGGTTGTGGAGTCTCTGTGCTTGGAGATATTCAAAAGCATCTGGTAACAGTCCTTGCTCAGCCTCTCTAGGTGGCCCTGCCTGAGCAGGGAGTTTGGACTAGATGAGCTCTAGAGATGCCTTCCAACTTCAGCCACTCTGTGGTTCTGTGGCTTGAAATTGCATCTTTCCCAAGCAAGGTCTTCAAAATCAGCTTGTCAGAGATCTTGTTGCTAAGGGGTCTCCATATTGTAGTAGGTAAAAGCAGTGGAGTTTTGGTGCTTGTCAGTAAAAGCAGTGATGGCTCAGAAGCACAAAGCAGGAAGGCCTCTCTCTCTGTGTGTGAGCACCGCTGTCCAGAGATGTTTCAGTTGTTCTTTAAGAACAGCACAGAGCATCTCTGTCTTCTGTGTTTCTACTTCTGGTTTGGGCAAATAGAGCCCTTGGACATTGCAGCCTGTAAGTAGTGAATCAGTGAAAAGAAGCAAAGAGGAGGGGGAGGTGGTAGGGAAGAACATGGTGAGGGGCAGGGAAAATATTGCCAGAGGAAAAATGTTTATGACAAATGGCAATCCACAGAATGAAGGCTGATGTTAGAAGAGGGTGATTGTATGAGATTGGACACAGATAGAAGATGAACTGAGGTGAATGGACTAAGACCTTGGTATCTCAGCCATTTATTAATTTACATCTCAGTCTTCTGCAAGGGCTGCTCAGAGCAAGACCACACAGGAGTTTGGTGAAAATAAGACAGGAATTAAAGATCACTATCTGGCACTTGCCTTGATTCCTTTTACAAATATTTGTTCTTTCTGTGTAAATAAAGAATAAATAAGGCAGGAAGTATTATGCTTGAATCAGTAAGTTAAGGTCAAAGTACAAAGATCCACTTCACCTGTGGATAAACTTTCCTGTATATATTATATTCACCCTGCATATTGCATTTCATCAACAATTTTAGGAAATCACGTCTGCTAAATATTTTGCTAGTGAATATTTTAAATCTTCAAAACTTAATGTTCAAGAGGCTTTCAATTTAGTTTATTTTTTTAAAATTACATTTGCTGATTACAGTGAAAAGTGGAAAATATAATTCAGACTATGAAATAAGGTTATTTTAAAGAACCAAGTATTTATAGTCTCATGCAGAAAACTCTCTTTTAATAACAGGATCTTCACAATAGAAGTCCATAAGGTTTGTTTAGGAATGTTTTCAGCTAAATCTATGGTTATTAATCCTATTGTCATAGCAAAGTAAATGTGACAACATTGGTAGAATATGTTCTCTCTTTAAAAGTTTATTGCTTTTTCTCCTCCTGTTCCCTTTTAACAGAACAACTCATAATAAAAATGGAATTTACCAGTTTGAACAGGCTTCAAAATGTAAGGCAATTCAGGACAACATTTTGTCCTCATCTATCAAGAAGAAAAGGTAGGTGTTTGCTGTCCTTTCTGCTTTGTTTGTTTTAAATAGCAGGGTGAAAAATTGTCCTTTTTACATGATTCTTGGTTTATTAACGTGGAGCTATGCAATAGAAAACAGAATTTGTTCAACCAGGCGTTTGCTGCATTTTTTTCTTTAACATGGATAAGATTTATCCAAGGTGGGATTTAAACTTTTTTATTTTCACAATACAAGATTTCTTCTTGTCAGTTAGGAACATTAAATTCCAAGCTATTCACAAAAATGTTGAGTAGAAGTGTGGGGTATAATTTCATTATTGAATGTCTTTTCCCTGACTGGTGAACACTCCTCCTTTTATGTGCAACTTCAGTTAATGATTCTGTTCAGCATTGCTGACTCGAGGAAGTTTGGAAGTGTTACTAGTATAAGGACCTGCTGGTTAGTCACATGATTGCATTATAGCAACAAGCACACAGGAAACTGACAGTCCAATTTTAGACACATTGGGGAAAGAAACACCCCAAGTTAATTTTGAGTTTCAACTTGCTGTTCTGTATTTTTCTGGCATGGAGAAACATACAACTTTGATATCAGTCCTGCTGAAATTCCTTTCCAAAGGAAAGAAATGTCACTTTCCAAAGTGAAAAGCTGAGAAGCAGCCATTGTTTTTGACTTGTAACATCTTTTCCTATATTGATGCGCCAATAAACAAAAGGATGCACCAATAATAAAACATTGAAAGTAAGAAAGGCTTCCCATTAGGACTGAGTTGCAGCTTTAATATGGATGGTGCCATACTGTCTAAAACTGGGAGCTTCCCTCCCCACTCCTCTCCATTTGGGAGAAGAAATGGAATGAGAAACAAAAGGTGAGATAAAAATATTTATATGCCTTTCCCTATTGAAAGTACTGGAGAATTCAAATTTTTCCTTAATGCCAAAATAACATTAAATTATTATCTGAAAACTTATTCTCTTTTCTGCCTCCTCCTCACTTTTTTATTGCATTTAAAAATTTTTCACTTCTCTTTAAATCATAAATCCAGCATTTTGTCTTTGCTCTTATTATCACTTCTTTATTTATTCTTTTTTTTTCCCCCTTCTTTACAACCTCTTCTCTCATCAGTATTCCACCCCTTTCAGCAACACTATCATTGGAGTTTTTATTCTTTTGAAAGGTGCTAGACCAGTATGCTACTGATGCATTGATAGTGAGAGCTGAAACATTGTCTGGAAGAGGTAAAAGAATGCAGTTGACTGAAAACTTGAGTGATTAACACCAGGGGAAGGAAAAGCAGTCACTGTATTGCTTTCAAAATCTACTTATAGCAATATGAATGCTGTTGTTTATCCCACACATTGCAAAGGTTTACAGTCTTTGGAGATGAACTCTTCATATTGAGAACATTTTGGAGCTGAGGTTATGGGAGAAACTTTACAAAGTACAAGTCCTTTATTCTGTGGTTAAAGAGAAAGGGGGGCTGTACCATTTAATGAGGCAGAAGATTAATTGGGCAAGTAGGAAGAGAAACAGATGTTTGGGAAAAAAAGAGCATGGATTTGCTTTGCATTTTGCCATGAATATTTCAGCTATTGACCTTCACTCAGGAGCTGCAGGGATTTTGTTACGTTTTCAAGGTGTGACCTGTGGGCGTGGTATATCAATGCTTTATATTGCAGTTCTAGATTTTCAGTGACATTCTGTACACTTCTGCCACTTAAATTGGAAGAAAGAAAAAAAATTACTAATTTAAAGCTTGTCAAATTATTTGATAGTAAGAAATGCTATGTAAGTGGGAAGTTGTTATTATTATAGCAAATATGTGCTGGTGGTGACAAAGAGGCTACAGTGCTGAGTTTTGCTAGCAGTTTTCCATTTTTATTCTAGAGCAAACCCTGTGTACAATCTCCTGAGGGCTTATAAAACTGATTTTTTTTTTTTTGGCAGAGTTAAAGTATCCATAGGCAAAACAGAGCTTCCTTTATTTTGCATTTCATGCCACAGCTTTTCTTTTTGTTTCTTTCTTGAAAATAAACTGCCAAGTAGAAATGTGTCCTTTTTCCACTCCTGCTGTTCAATCTTCCTTCTAATTCAAATGCCTTTTTTACAAGCTGGTATTTAGTTTTAGCAAATAATCAGTGAGACTGCATCTGTCTGTTCTGACATTTTACCTGTTGTCTCCATACTGTCTCTACACTTTTGTCCTTGCTGTTGTCCTTTAGATATCTGCCAAAAATTAGAAGATACTAATACTTTGTCAGTGCTTTGAATGTGCATAGTAATTCCATCTTAGCTGCCACAGTTAACATGGAAAGTCACTTCTTACCTGACAAATACTCTGGGGGGGGGGGGGGGGGTGGAAAGCCTTACAGGTGTTTTTTGTCAGTCAGGCTTATATAGTATAAGTGAGTTTCTTAGGACAGAAAATTATTATAATGGTTGTGGTGCAGGTGGCAGGGAAAAATAGGACAAAAAGACCCCGTGTTTCATTCATTCACTCTTCTCAGCACTGTAATACTTGTGTTGTCCAAGTATTTTTATAGCTCGATTTACCTGAGCTTTTTTTATCTTAATAATAAAACCCTTTTAGCATCAGTGAATATGTGCTGTAGGCTCCTGGGTGCCAGTGGAAATATATGTTATGTGCCAGCTCTTTAAAATGGAAGAGTGGAGAAGATGGCTGTCTGGGATACAGCAGAGTCATGAAATTGTTCCCTGATAACCTGAACTGATTTGTTTGGAGGAGTGAGTCCCCAAGCCTCCTTTAAAGCAGGAAATGCTAAAATTTACTTTCTGAGAGGAAAACAAAGTTTTCTGGGCTGTAAATCCAGCTGCAGCAAATCCAAGAGCTTCATGTTGAGTCTTAAAAAAAAATATTTCTAGGAATACTGTCTGTATTGGAGTTCATTTCATAGAAACATTTTACTGGAGTGGGCAGATGCCTTGCAGAACTGCAACAGTTGGGAGCTCTTGTCCCCCAGGACAGCTTGCTGGGATGTCTGTGCTGCCTGTGGCACTGTGCCAGCTGGTAAAGACAAGTTCTGACAGACCACAGTGTCTGTGTAAGTCATGAAAGGAACTAAACTGGATGCATAGGGCGAGCAGAGTTGGTGTTCTGATTTGTCAGACCTGGAAATGGTGCTTTTCTATGTGAGCTGGTGAGCTTGGATACCTCTGAGCAAGAGCAATTCCATCCAGTAGAGACAGCTGTGGAAAGGCTGCAGTGTTCTTGCTTTGTAATTGGTGTTTTTAGCCTAAGTGTATTTTTTGTTACAGGTATGAGAGGGCCCTACAGTGTCTGACAGTGAGTGCCTATGTTTCCTATGTGATCTTGGAACTAGCATTATGGATGATGCTTTCATTCTTCTCCCTAGCAAATGTTTCCCTCTAACTTACTAAAAAATTGTCAGTCCATGCAATTTCTTCCTGAATAGATGGTAATTTTTCATTTCATTTCTGGCTCTTATCATCTTCATCTTATCAATGTCTTTAGGCTAGAATTTGCTTTTTCTAGATTTTTTTTCTCCTGGATAATTATAGCGTAAGTAACTCTTCGTGGTCTGTTATCCTATTAATTTCTGAAATTTTTTTTTAAGTCCAAGCATCTAAGAGTGATTTCTTGTTTATATTAAGGAATGAAATCAGATGAGTTATTCAGCATCAGAATTGGTTATTTTGGTTTTGTGCTTTTATCTCACCTTGACCCCACAAACACTCCCTGCCCTACCCTCCTACTGACACTTGTTTGACCACATAGTGACTCAATTTAGGGATCAGCTTCAGCAGAAAAGTAGTTCCATTTTCCATGGCTGCAGTTCCAAGGCTGATAACATACCGGCAGGCAGCTGCCAAAATAGGAGGGCCTTGATCCCTGTTTGTCCATTTCCATCACTCTTTGCTTATACTGTCTAGGGTCTTAAATAGATATTTCTTATCTGGTTTAACACAATAAGAAGAAAATGTATATGCATATCCTTTTCCTTCTGGATTATTTTTTTGTCCTGGTAGCAGAAGTGGCCTATGAAGGCATTTGACAAGTACAAAACCTGACAAAAGAAAAACAGGGGAGCAGTCAGGTAAATGCCCATAGTGACGCAAGGCAGTTGGACTAGAAGAAGCAAGAATGTACTGCACCAGGTCAGATAAGCTACAGCTGCAATGAAACTAGTTTGGTTTTTTTTTCCTACTTCTGCCAATTGAGTTCTCTTGAGTTGTGAAGGGCTCAGTAGAATCAGTTTAGTCATAATCTTCTAGTTCCATTAAGAGTTTGCTAAGTGTGGAGGAAGAAACTTGTACATGTCACAGGTGCAAACTTGAGCCAGAGACCAGTTTTAATGCAGCATTCCTCTAAAAATTATAATTTATTTTTCCCTGTGGAAATTGGATGTGATTGTACTTGGGGTAGGATAAATGAGTTACCTTTAGCAATTGCAGTACTTTTGTGAAGCAAACAATCTGTTTGTTTGAAATGCGGAACAGCAAGAAGGAATCTTTCAGATAATTGACCTCTGCTGCTGCAACCACTAGAATGTTTTTGTATATTGCTTTTTAGCAATCCTCATGCTCCACTTAAAAACAAGTGACGTTTCTTGCCATCCCAACTCTTGTAAAACTGTTCCAAATAGATGCTTCTAAGGGGCAGCTTGAATAAACTCATGATTGTTTGGGTCAACACTAAGCTATTTTTGTTAAAATAATACAAGTTAGATCTTGTATGGAGATTTGAGTCCCATAGAATTTTAGTCATGGCATCCATACCATCGTTTCTTCCTATTCCCCCAGTTATCTTAAGTCAGTTACTGTTTTTTAAAAACCTGTATTATAATCCAGGCACAAATGGGAGAAGTAGTAACATTGAACATGAAAGCAAAAAATGTCTTCATTCTTTTGACTTCCATGTTACAAAGTATTTCACTTAAGAACAAATTTAATGGATTAAATGGATTTTCAAGAGGAGAGCTTTTTGGTTATATGTAGCAATATAACCAATGTAACCTGGATCATGTAACATAGCAGATTGTTTTATTTTGCAGACAGTTTAAAGGAAAACTTACATCTGTAAATATTGGTCTGTTATCTTTAGATGGTTGAATTTTGGGGACTCTATGAAGTAAATGAAAGAAAAGGCATAAGAAATGTTATGTTTCATCTTGGCCAGGAAGAGCCACTTTTAAGGTTTAAACCACCAAGTACAAGAGAATTGTTTATATTATTTGGAATTTTGCATTTGAGATGATTTCTAATAACTTCAAAATATTTATGGTTAGTTATGTAAGTTTGAAACAAATGTTCTTTTGAAAGTTTCTGAAGTTCATTAGGACACCCGTACTAAGAAGAGATGTTTAATGGGTCATGCTAGTTAAATGAGGATAGTGCTGCTACAAATTATAAAAATAAAATAGGTCATGGAGTTCTAAAAGCAATCTATTATATATGCACCATGCACATTATTATTAATAAATGCATCATTTGAATGTTTTTAGAGACTGTTTCTAAATATACATACATATGTATTCTAGTGTTTGATGTTGTTTCCTTTTTTAGATACTCAGAAGATTATTATCTTCACATAGTCACAAAACTGCAGAACTGCACCTGGGTAAGGAAACCAGAAGAATCTACAAAATTCAGGTAATTTTCATTGTCTCATTAAGAAAAACTGTTCACCCTGAATTTTTTTAACAAGCCATTAAATCAGATCGTTTTGTATTACTTGTAGTAATTTCTGTCAGTTTTTTGATGCTGGGGCTCTTCTTGTTTGTTGGAATTTAACTGTTCAAACTAAGTAGAATAAAAGAACTACATAAGTAATTTCATCTACCTTCACTGTAATGAGTAGTAAACTAACTTAAGTAGAATGAATTAAAATATTCCTGGCATGAACCCTACAGTGTTAAAAACGTACTGATAATGTTATTGTGTTCATTTGAATTGGCACTCTGATAAGAGGCTATAATGAACTATTGCCTCTATTGCAGAAGTGCCCAAGGCACTCATTAGGTTTGTCACTGCATGTGACAGCCCCTGAACATGGCAGCACATCCCTTGTTTGGGATGGCACAGAAGGACATGCTCACTAGGGATAGTGAGCTCTGAAAAGCCTACGCTCTCATTTGGAAATCATGCTGATTTTAAAGAACAGCTTCACTGTGCCATTCCTGTTTTCTCCAGGGGAAAAAAGCTCTCTTGATTTACATTTTTACATGGATTATAATTAAAGATTCTGTCACGATTGTTAAAAATAAATAAACTGACCTATCTTCCAACTCTTTGGAGTTAACTAGCATTAAGAGCTTAATATCTACATGCTTAGCATGACCCCTTTGGAAGAAGTGGTTTTTGGGGGTTGGGGGACGGACAGGTTAAAGGGTTTTGTGCACCATAAATTGCTGTGTTTGCTGTCTATCACAACTAACTAATGGTGTTTCCTAAAGCTGAGGTAGGAGTATACACAGAGTTAAAGAAACTTTGTATTGACTCAGGCAGGCCGCAGCTGTGCACAGAGCTATCTAGCATGACAAGGAGCTGTAAAGCAGCCCATTCCATTTCAGAACTGGCAAGTGTCTTGCACAGAGTTGACAGGAGATAAAGCTGCTCTCACCTGCTCTTCACCCTGCTACATTTGGGCTTTTTGTTTTCCAATCTATTTTTTTTTTTAACTTCTCTTCCTTCCAAATGGACAGGCCACCACATAGCAGCTATTTGCTTCTTCTGTACTGGATGTTTTTTGTCTGTGGCACTGTAGCCACTCCTTTGTCCAGCCTGACTTCTTCATTTATTGCTTATACAATCTCCCCTCCACTGGGCCACCTTCTAAATCTCCTAGGCCTATAGGAATCAGGCATCCAAAACATCATATAAGACTGGACTTTAAGTACAGGATGCTTGCTGTTCCTCCTGCTTCTTTGGCTTCCAGCAAGGAGTATCATAAGTAGTCAAGGTGGGTTATGCAACCAATGATCAAACTGGAAAAATTGAAAAGACAGAACTGTCGGATGCACTAAGCCACCAAAAAAGTGTAGACTCTATATACATTGAGGTGATCTTACTAGCTTTAATTTAGCTCATATACCAAGCAGAAAACCATCTTTTAAAATCCATGGTTCAGCACAGATTGGACAAGCTTGTTACTGAATCAATATTCAAGGGCTGTGGTGTTATGGTTTTCTTGGTTTTTGACATCCAGACTAGCTGGAGTATTAGCTAGTTCATATGCATATAACCTGTGCTGCAATTCTGATGACAGTACTATGTATTCTGTTCCTGAAATTTGATCTGATTTAATGTCATCAAAGATTTCCATTGACATGACTAAGGACCGATGCTTTGGTGTAGGTCGTTGTGAATGATTATTTTACAAAAGATGGGTACTTTTGCACAAGTCTTTTCTTTCTTTTTTCATTTGCATTCTTCTCTGTTGTTTTTTGAAAATAGGATATTAAAATTTTACCGTTGTCCTTAATCTATGACCATACTGGAGGTTTTCAAGGCTCTTAGTAGTTGGTCAATAGAGTCTTTAAAATAGAAAGATTTTAAAAAGAAAACTAAATTGTATATAAAATTTGCTGGATAAATCTCCATGCTTAAAGTGCTTCCAGGCTTATTTATCAGACTTAAGCCTCCAACTAGTTTGGAAGGGAACTTTAGCTGAAAAATGATGCATTAATGGAGCTATGGGGGTGAAAAAGTACTAGAGTTGTAGTGAAATAAATGAATTAATAATCACTGGGCAGTAGATCTCTTCCTTTTTCTGACTTAGCCTAGTGTCAGTAATAGGTGGGTAATACAAATATTTTACAGTCTGAAAATCTCATTAAATAGGTAGATAAACACACCCATTTGCAGAAGAGGAAATTAATCTCTGAGGGGCTGTGCAGCAGAAATTGGGTACTACAGCCAGCCACCTTCAGCAGGAGAAGCTTGAAGCTGTGTCACATTATTCACCTGCCAGTGCCACCAGAAGTCTGCCTGCTCACAAGACTGCAGAGAAGCTGCTTGATTTCTTTTCCTGTTTGTCCATCTGTTAAATGCAGTGAATGCTTAGATGCTTCTCAGGCACAGCATCAATTTTATGACATCTCTCTATTATCCTGAAGTTCTGAAGAACAGACGTGCATATTTATAAGGGATTTAATGTCTTATGCTTCAGGGCATACACTAACCTCTAATTAATAAGGTTCAAGAGCAGCTTCTCCTGGGTAGTTAATTTTTCAGAGAAGCTTTCCTGTGTTTTCCTTTGCAGGAAAACACTGCTGCTGGCTTCCATTATGCTGCTAGTGGAGTAAAGGAATATGTGATCTAAGCCAGTAACTTCTGTGTTCCTAGAAGACAGCACTGTGTGCCAAGGAGTACACATCCATTCTCATTGCAAGCTGCTCTCCCAGCAGATCCAGGCCAAATAAAAGAATATAAATTAGAAGTGCAGCTCAGGAAAGAAATACTTGTCTTTTTATTTGGCAAAAGGGTTACAGCTGATGGCCATGTCTGGCACAAACTACAGTGTTTTTTCCAACTCACTGTTGGAGAGCAGAGTGCAGGACTCCAGGCTGACCCTCTACCACCTGGCTCAGCTGTGTCATGCAGCTGTGCAAAATGTGTCCATTTGTTGTCAGAGGGCTGCCCTTTCCCAGATGGCTCCCTCTAAAGCTGCTCTGCTGTGCTGGCCCACATGCTCTTGGCTAAGTTGCTCTCTGGCAGCTCTCACTGGTTCTTGAAGGCTACGTGATGTTTACACATGCATTTCTCAAAATCAAGAATAAGGAAGCAAGTACAAGCCATGATGTTCTCTTTAATACCTTCCATATCCACAGTCACTCTTTTGTGGTTGATTTTTGTCCAGACTCTGTCAGGGAACCAATCTCCTGGCATTTCACTTATTTTAGTGTCTGTAGTGGTGACATCAGCATTGTCAGACATAGGCTGCCCTCAGAGGAGCATGTGCAAGCGCTTGGTTCATTGCTTTTGAAATCTAGTTAAGATTTATTGTGCCCCACAGTAGTATTTGTCAGTCATTGTTAAAAGAGCGGTTTAAGTCGCATCCTGCTAATGGTGATTTTTGGAGTCTTCTCCAATATTTATTTCTAGGGACATATAGAAAACTATTTTTTTTTATTCTGACTTTTCCTGTATAAAATTAATATTCTCCTGACCTTTTAAAATTTTGTTTTTGTTCTTTATGACTCTTCAGTCATCTAGCATCTGCACATTATGCCTTTGTTTCTAAGCCCACCTGAATTCTTCCTCTCTTTTCAGATTTAGATCAGCTCTAACTTGTTTTAGACAGAACAAGTCCTTGGATTTCTTTTCTGTAAGGGAGAAACTTGGTATAAACTTGGAAAAGTGGGAAAAATAATCTCACAGCTGCCTGGAAGGAGCATCCTTAAAGGTCTAGGGGAAAAAAAGCTGTGCTGGGTAGCTTCCTCTGTAAAGGATCTTCTAGCTACAGTCAGCAGAGTCTCAAGTTCCCTAGGTAACCTGAATATTAATTATTATATTAGTATTCTTCAAAGGTTTCCCGCTTTAAAGAAATGTTTTTGTTGCTGCAACAAATTACAGAGCCCAGTTAAGTGCAAGCTGTAATTGTTTCTTACACCTCCACATCTCTTTGCTTTACAGACTTTTAAGCTTAATTTGCTGTCATTTGGGCTATACACCAATGGTATCAAATAATCTGCAGGTTTTCAAAATAGTTGTGACTCCAGATTTTGCAGAAAGCTACAAAATATTTAAAAGAGGCTTCAAAATGAGGGGAGAGGCTGAGCAGATGCTGTGTTTCAGAGAAGCCTCTGAGCATTGTATTTCTGGGCTGTCTGAGCTTGAAGCCTATCAAAGCAGTGCAATAGCACTTCAGGAGCAGTATCACACTGAAATAGTGAGCTGTGGGTACCTGGTCCTCTCCCCATAGAAAGACCATTCCAGGCAAACCTTATTTGCATCTCATAATGAAGAGGGAAGGATATTCCTAGGTATAAAACACAGTTTTAAAATTCCTGATGTTACACTGCAGTCTAGCTGGGAGAATGCTGCCCCCATCCAAATTATTTTACTTTTTTCTCTTTTTTAAAGGAACATTACTACTTTAAAAATAGAACATGTATTCTTGAAAATAAGAGATAAAAGATCCACCATTTTCAATGTCCTGTTATTTTCCCTCTTCCTTTTATTCCACTTGACCTCTATTACCCTTTTCCCACTTTAATATCTCTTCTCAAAAGTGTGTGTTAAACATTCCTGCAGATTATAGAATACCACTTCTTGAAGAGATTAGTTTAGTTGCAAACTACACTCTAACCCATATAACAGTATTGCTTATCACATCTGTGTGCTGCAATGAACCCCAGCTGAAACACAAAACACACTGCAAGGTCAATTTATGCTTATATAAGCTTGTACATAATCAATAGCTTTTCTAACACTTAACAGATCAATATTTCTGCTGTAATCTCTGAAATCTTCCAGTTTACAAGAAAGTACACAGAACTCAGGCTGCAGAGAGATCAAGAGTACATTTGCTGCACAGATTTAATAGATGATATGTAAAATAATGAGTATATATTCAAAGACATTTTATTTCAGGAGAGAAAAAGATGGATGGAGAGATAGTGATTAGTGACAGTTTGAAGCAAGGCTTG